TCTGGAAAAGAAAAACGGAAAAGCATTTGATAAGGATAAACGGAAAACGAAAAAATGACAATGATACAATTTATTATTGATTTAATGGAATGAAATATTCATCAAAATATATCAACTATTTAAACAATTGCGTACGCATATATATTCCCTTTATGAAAATATTCCGCTAACAACAATAATATATGTTTTCAAATTTTCCAACTCTTATCACTGGACTATCATTATCATCTTGTTATCACTGATTGCATGACAAAATACTTTATTTTTTATTCTTATTTTATGCAAGAAAAACGAAAAAATTGCATTCATATGAATGCAAAAATTTGACGAATAATTTTATAATTTGAATGTTGACTTGAAAGTTTTTTTTTTAAAATAATCCTGATAAACATTTGTCAAGATAAGTTTGATTTATCAAGCCTAAACTTCTTTCCCACTTTTTTTTTTTTTTGGCATTTTAGCATTTCATCCGTTATCAGTGATCCGAAAATGATAACTTGAAAGCTTTTTTTTTTTCCAAAATAATCCTGATAAACATTTGGCAAGATATGTTTAATTTATCAAACCAAAACTTCTTTGATATTCTCATCCGTTATCAATGATCCGAGAAGTTCGAATGAATGTGCTGAAAATTCTTTGGATGATTTTTTTTTTTTTTGTTACATAATATTCTAATATTTGTAATAAGTTGAAAGAATCTTTTTATTTATTGAAATAATAATTAATCATTGATCTTGCATTTCTACATAATCCTTACTTTTTGGATATTTTTTAAAAAAAAAAGAAATCGAAAGTAATGAAATTTGTCCTTATCAATGGTCAATAATATTTTATCAATAATCAGTTAATACCGGTAATTGATGATTTTTCTGTAACTAAAACTTCAGAATGTCTTTCGGCATTAAACGCTGCCAAACTTGTATATGTCCCGGAAATATGTTCCTGTCGCTCTAAAATTAATCAATTATCAGCTGAGATAAAAATTTTGTTTAATTATTAAATGATTATTTCTGCATCAATATAATGACAAAGTTTACGCTTATATGATATGATAACAAGGCTTATGCTTACGTGACAATAAATAAAAACCTTTTTGTTAAGTAAATTTGAGATGTTCGTTTTAATTTATTCCAAATTTTAAGAAGTAAAATTTTCTGCAAAATTTTGATAGTTTCAGATAATGAACATTTAAAGATCAAATATTTAAAGGGCAAAGATCAAACGGAACGAGAAATGAACAAAATTTTTTAAATGAAAATAAAATAGCAAAATATATATTTTCGCTAAAATATTTTTCTTCTATCAAAAAAAAAAAAAATTTCATAATATTCATACTTGTAAAGAAATGAAAATTTTGAGATTTTCCGAATCGTTCTGCCTCTTCCAATGTTTGTGGTATAGGTTTACCCATTGTTTCCGGTAGAAAAAGTGATGCTATTCCGGCTGATATTGCAAGTAAACCCATAATTATCAATGGTAGAATACGTAAGTAATCACCCTAAAATTAGAATTATTTACTTTTAGATTAATAATTAATGAAAACAAGAAAAGAAACAAACACCTAAGTAAATGAAATATTTTCATACAGTATACTTGAAAAATTTTAAATTTAAAAATTCATAATCCAAAATGGAGCAAGATTTATTCATCGATAAATCCTCATTTATCGATTTCTAATTAATGCTACTTAGATTAAAATTTTAGTTTTTTTTTTTGATGAATTAATTGATGTATTTTTTTCATAATCTCTTCTTCCCTACTTTTGTATTATTTAATTCATAATTAATTAGTGAAGCTTTGGTTCTTTTTTTTACACAATTTACTTTTGCCACATTAAATATAAAGGTTACACACATTTTTAAATGTTGTTTACCTTTTTTTAATGTAAAATAAATATTAAAAATCTCAAAATTTTAAAATTTCAATTTATAAAATTAAATTTGCGTAAAATAAATTTTGGAATTGTTCGCTGAATTGAACGATAAATAAGAATGCAAATTATAGCAAAATAATTAAAAATATTGAAATTTAAAATTAAACTAGAAGAATTAATGTTTATTAAATTAATTTAAATGAAAAATAAAATATGATGATCATTACCAATCGTACAACATATGGTGCAAGAATTAAACCGGAACCGGCAACCATTGAACTCATACCCATACCAAGTGCACGTAAAACAGTTGGATATAATTCGCCGGAAAATAAATATATTACGGCAAAACTTGCAGCAATTCCAAATTTTCCAACATATGCCATTATTGCAACAAATAATGGATGTTCTGTAAATTTTAATTTCATTAACAAATTTTAATTTTAGAAAGGAAAAAAAATTTTCACTTTCATTTTTTTTCTTCAAAAATTTCATTTTCATTTCTTTTTTCTTCAAAAATTTCATTTTCATTTTCATTTCATTTTTATTAATTTTACAAAAATTAAAAGAAAAAAGAACAGTAAGCAATGAGAAAAAAAAAGAAAAAAAAAGGAATTAACATTCTATTAATAATATATTTGTTTCATTTTTCCTTTTATGTAAATGAAAAAGGAATAAAAAACTAAATTTTAAAAATTTTAAATTTAATTAAAAAGTGCTGCTATTTTGGAAGATTGATAAATTTAATAAATTAAATTTTATTTCTTTTTTGATCATTATATTTCATGTCATTTTTAATATGTTAACATTAGATTGCGCAAGTAAAAAAAAAAAAAAAGCAAAAAACGTCTAAGCAAACATTTAAACATCAAAAAATGATAAAATTACTACCTAGAAATATCAATAGTACTTTTGCTTCAATTAAACTTTCTTCCTAGGTAACGTGTATAACGTAAACTTAGACGTAAAAGAATGTAGATTAAAATAATATTTCCTGTCAACCAAAATGTCTTTATTTGTTTTTTTTTTTTTTTGTTTGTTTATTGTTATTAAAGTAACCATGAGTAATTGATGTTGAAATTGTTGAAATGCATGCTAATCCTGCAAGGATCATTGGTCCTGCTAGTGACCATCGACGTCCAATAGCATCAAGTAATGGCCATATAAGAAAATAAGCTGGCAATTCTACAGCACCATTGATAATAAATGATAGGAAATCATTAACCGGAAGATTTGATATATTATATGTTAAACAGTTATAAACAACTGCATTTACAAACCTATAATTAAAAATTAATTTATAAAAATTAAATAAGAAAGCAAAATCTTTTTTTTACAAAAAAAAAAGAACAATCTAAATAAAACTATATTTAGAAAATTTCATTTTTTATTTTAAAAATTGAAAAGAATTTATGAAATTTTTTCACAAACCAAATATAGGTGATAAGAATTGTCTTCTTACGAAGATTTGGCGTCCGGAATAAATTAATTAAACCATACTTATTAGAATGTCCTGCTACATTACATTTGTTTCGGATGAACTAAAAAAGAAAAAAAAAATCAATTAATCAATTGTTTAGAAATTTTTACTAAACAATTTATTTAATTCATTTTCTATAAATTGAGATTTTATACAATTCAAAATTACTAAAAAAAGAGGTAAGAATAAATTTAATTTTCATTCATTAATTCATAAAAATTTTTGTAAAATACACATGATATATAAGAAATTAGAATTTAAATTTAATATTTAATGAAATTGAAAAAAATTAACAAAATTTTTCAATACTAATTAAATATTAAATATATGATAAAATTATAATTTTATTTTAATATTGAATTTCAATAAATAAAATTTTAAATCAATAAAGTAATCATAGTTTTACTAAAGTTTTATTTATTGAAAATAATTTTAAAACAAATTTTTTACTTTTCCTCTTTCCCCTTCCTCCTTTGTAACTAACACTTTTTATCATTTTATCAATAAAAAAAAAAAAAAAAACCCAACCCTTATCATTAGATCATCAACATCGACCTCATTTCGTCCATTAATTTTTGCTAAACGTTTTATAATACTTTTAGCTTCAGCATATCGACCAACCGAAACTAACCATCGTGGTGATTCCGGAACAATGCTTCAAAAATATTTACCTATTTTTTCTTATCACATTTTTTTTCTTATCACTTGAAATAAATTACACTGATAATTTACAATGATTAATCTAATAATAAATGTTGAACAATTGTTATTGAAACTTGATTCAATTTTAATAAAAAAGAAAATTATCATCCTTTCAAATGATCATATCATTAGCCTTAATCATTTGCATAATTTATTTGATTATTCCACAGAGAG